CACCCGAATAACGTTTACAACCACACTATGTCGGTTTTCAACGCTCACCGAACAACGTTCACTCCTCACACTCGGTTTCTAGTTCACCGAAAACTTCACAACACACTCGGTTTCTAGCTCACCGAAAACCTTACAACACTCACAATGTAACAAATATAAATTTGTTCTCTACAATAGATGAGAACACAATGAAAGCACAAATCAAAGTTACAATCTCTCACCACCCAACTATACTATGTATGAAAGATACAATAAGCTCAATGTGGGTGTGTGTAACAGTGAGATTCAATAAAACTTAACTCAATAAGAACTAGCAATAAGAATTGATATGAAATTCAATAGTAAAAATGCTAGGAAATAGAGTTAAGGAAACTTCTCTATAAACACAAAGAGAGGATGATGAAATGTTGAAGATGAACTCTTCAATAGCTGATTGTAAAACTCCTCTTTGTAACAGCAAACCAAAACAAACTTAAACCAAACAAAAACAAGCTTAAACCCTTGTTTAAAACCTTGTTTAAAAACTTCTTTAAAAACTTCTTAGCTACTTGAAAAAGAACAGCAATAGGGTATTTATACCCACTTGAAATCTCAGCCAAAACCCCAAAACAAAAAGACCAAAAAACCTAGCCAACGGTAACAAAAAAATAGCCGTTGGAAACTATCAGACTAAGGGGCGGTCGACCGGAAATTCTTACGGTCGATCGCGATCTAGGTTCTAGTCTGAGAATCGTATGCAAATACAATAAGCTCAATGGTTGTGTGTGCAAACAAAGAGTAAATCAAATCAAACTAAACTCAATATAAAACTAGCTTTAATAGAAATGATAATTAACAAATAATTATAGATAAAAGCTAGAGTTGAGTTTAGGAAAACTTCTCTAGATCAAGATGGAGAGATGGAGATATGAAGCCCAAACAAGAAGATGATCTCCTCCACTTGTGAAAACAATCTTTAAACCAAACAAACACTAAAACTCACTTAAACCCTTGTTTAAAACTCTTTAAACTTGTTTAAAACATTTCTTGAGTAGCCTTAGAGGTATGAGGGCATGGGGTATATATAGGCTCATGAAACAACCCCAAAAACCAATAAAAACACCCCCAAAACATTAAAATAAACAAAAAACAGAACTAGCCATTACTGTAGCAACGGTCGGATGCTACAGTAACTTCGGTCAACCGGTACGGTCGACCGAGAGCTATCTGCAAAGCTGAGAAACGTCCAAAGACATTTCCGGTCGACCGGTCCGGTCGACCGGAGTTACTGTAGCAGTGCGCAGATGTTTTGTAAAATCAATTTAAAATAGTTAATGAACTCCAAAAATTATGAACTTTTGTGATAATGTTCTAGACATGTACAATAACATGTCAGAGAAAGAATTTCTGAAAAATATTTTCCCAGTTGAGAGAAATAAATATTTGAACACAAATTTACAGTTTCTGAAAAACTGTTAACATATACGATTTTGTAAAATCAATTAGGCATAGTAAATCAACTCCAAAAATAGTAAAATTTTGAGGAAAGTTTCTAAACATGTAGATAAACATGTCAAAGAAAGAATTTCTTGAATATCACTTCCTATTTATGAAAAATCATCTGTTTTATAAAACATGCACGAACATGTGCACAAACAAAAACATGATTTTGTAAATTCCATTAAACATAAAAATCAATTCCAAACTTGATGAAACTTTGCGAAATGTTTATAAACATGAAAACAAACATGTTAGAAAAAGAATTTCTCAAATTTAATTTCCCTTTGTGAAAACTCATGTATTTTGCAAGTGTGTCCAAAGCATAAAAACTCAAAACCATGCATGTATATATATAACTATATATATACATAGAAACCAAATACGTGTGTGTATATGATATTGAGCTTAAGGTACTTAACACACATAATATAAAATCTAAACTAGATTACCCAAGCTTGATCTTGATCTTCATTGTAGCTCAACTTGGTACACATGCGGATGAAGCTTGAACTTGATCTTTAACTTTGAATTGCAAGGCTTCAACCCGACATTCCGCCAACCTCCATTTGATATCGTCGTTGAAGCGCTATTCCATCCAACCTCCAACAAGTTATTTGTCTACAATGAATAGATAACACAAGCACTAGACAAACAACATTAGTTATAAATTGTTTGTTAAACATCATCAAAACAAGAAGGCCAACAGCGAGATCTTGCCTCAGGGTTTCGTCGAACGGATCGACACTGTCGGTGCGGCGCGTCAACGCTGAAGGGGAGACGGATCTGGCTGAGCTGGTCGGCGTTGACGACGGGGTAACGGTGAGGATCTGAACGACGATGTCGGCGGGGGTTGTTGTTGGCAGCGGCGTTCGTACCACAAAGGTTTAACCTCAGGCGCGCGCGAGCGGGCGCGTGCTCGGGACGAGGTCGACGAGCGCTGCAACGGTGCGTGATGGTCGGAGCTCGCTGGCCTCAGTGCATGGATCGAGAGAGAGAGGAGGCCGACTGAGCGGAGCTCGGGGGCGGTATCCCCAGCGAACCATGCGCCGAGCTCACAGCGTCGTCGGCATCTAATCGACGCACTTCACCGTTTAGAGAGCGGGCGCACGGGCAGCGGCGATCGCTGGCGGACGCAGCACGGCGTCTTACGAGCGAGGAGGTGTCGGTGTCGTGCGGCTGAGTGCTCGAGTGATTTGAGGAGGATAGCATAAGTTGGAAGATGGGCGGCGCGCTCGCTCGGCGGTTTGCAGGTACGCTCAGGTTGGAGGCGTGGGAGGTGACGAGGAGGAGGTCGGATCTCGGGCTTGGCAATCGGGGGACACGGTGGAGGTAGAGGAGGTGGTCGGCGGTTGGAGTTCGTCAAAACAGGGAAAGAGGTCGGGTCGCGAGAGGGAAGGCCGAGCGAGGAGAGGGGAGCAGACGGTCAGGGCGCGATCTGACGTGATGGAGAAGAGGACGAGAGAGGAGATGAGAGGGGATGGGGGAGGTGGTGACGGCGGTGGCTGGCCGGAGAGTAGGACCGGCCAGCGGTGTTGGCGAGGGGGGAGGCGGTGTTGTCGCGGGGAGAGTGGTCGTAGAGAGAGAGAGAGAGGAGAAAGAAGTAAGGGTGGGGCGTGGACATGAGAGGAAGAAAAAGAAAAAGAAAAGGAAAATTATTAATATATAGGGTTAGGGTTTTGAAAAATAATTAAAAATAAATAATTACGGATACTTAAAAAAATTAAACTAATTAGGGAATAATTATATACAAAAAACGTACTAGTTATAGTAATACACCTGCTGATACGCAACTAAAGAAATAATACTATAAATTGTACAATTAAACAAGAATAATTAATAAAATATATAATTACTTATTTTAAAAATCAAATGATTATGGAATAATTATATACACGGTAAAACGTACCAGTTATACTAATACGAAAGATAATATGTAACAGTAGAAATAATACAACAAATTATACAAATAATACGTAATTAATAATACAACGTATTATATGAAATAATATGTAATAGTAACAATAATACAACGTATTATTTAAAATAATCTGTAATAGTACCGATAACACAACAGATTAATTCTAGAAATTTTTACCGCACAAAATAAATTTATAAATATTAAAATCATCTAAGTAAATATAAAATTTAGATTTTTAAATCATAGAAAATTCTAGAAGCCCGAGAAAGTACAAATACTCTTTTAAAAATCATAATTAAATATTTTAAAATATCAGAATATTATTTTAACTAGTATCAAAATTCATGGTTCTTACAGGTGCTGTCGCTTTTCACTAGCCACTTGTCGCTTTGCGCTAGCTACCGCTTTGCATTAGCCACCTGGATGACCCATCTTAACTAGCGACCGACATTTGTCAGCTGTCTGTCGAGTCAGCTGCCTGCCTGTCCTCAGCTCAAGTTACATGTTTGCCCTTCCGGTCCTCTATAAAAGGAAGCCATGCAGCTCAAGGTAACTCTTTCGGTCTCAAGTTCATATACTGACTTATAGCTAATATCAACAGGAGTTAGCTAACATATATTGACTTATAGCTAACATATATTGAGATTCTCTTCATTATCTCACATTTCCCCACTCAAGTTCATATACTGACTTATAGCTAACATCAACAGGAGTTAACTCGACCATGATTATATTTTTTAACTAAAAAAATTGACAGAGGGACGAACTCACAAGGCTTTATATGATTTGAGAGGGACTAATATGCAATTACTAATATTTTAGGGACTCTTATGCAATTTTTGGTAGATTTAAAGGACCAAAATGTGAAAACCCTAAATAAAAATATAAGGATAAGCTGGTAAAATGTAACCACTAAGAAGGAATTTTTTTAAAAAATAGACAACTTTTAGAATTTAACTAGCAACATCGATATAAAAGATACTTAACTAGTAAAATCGATCTACTTTTGGCAATGTCAGCAAAACTGGATAAAAATTTATCCGTATTGCAAAATCTTAACTTTGAAAAGCACGTGATTCTTATCTCGCGTGGTGACTAAAATTTGCTAATTACACAGAATTACTAGCTCCGTACATTTATTCTCAGCGGAGTACTAGTAAAATTTCCCGCATTAGGCCCACCCATATCCATCTGCAGAACTCGTGCGCCCGTTGGCCCCGTTCTCACTTGTGGCGATCAGCATGCCCATCATTAAAACTCATAAAACTATTTTCTCATTTACTAAACGGCCCCATAGAGCATTGACTCTTTCAAAGTGCCCTAATTCATATATGGTTTATTCAAAAGGTGTAATAAGGGACTGCTAATCCCTTGTGATTAGTTGCATTTGCTAATTACACGTGATTGCTAGTCATATCTCTTTCCAAACCATATATTTTACAAAATCGATCAATTTGCACATGTGGTCCAGGAAGGTACCTTTTGCTAATTAAATAAAATTTAGGTTGATTTTACTATTTATAAATATTAAAAATGACTCTTTTTAAAATTTTGTCACATCGAGAAAGGATAAGTCGGTCGAGATCGATTTGAGAGTTGGATGGGCCCTCTCTCGCAATCTCCGAAATTACGCAGGCTGCCGCTCGCGTGCTTGTCTTTGCTTACCAAAGGCAACACGTTTCCTTCCTCGTTCACCGTCTTTTACCCCGCCCCGGGCAATTGCCTCTCCCTCCTCTCTCAAAGCCATCGATTGAAGCCTTCTCTCTCTCTAATATTTGAAGCCCTAGGTCTCCTTTGAGTAATCAATTTTTCTTTAAAGATGGAGCGGATCATTGGAGGGAAGTACAAGTTAGGGCGCAAGATCGGCAGTGGATCCTTCGGTGAGATCTATTTAGGTGAGCTTGAGTTGTCGCAAGCCCTTCAATTCTCATTGCGATCGCTGTTTTTTTTTGTATGTTCATGAATCTTGATCTGCTGCAGCTACTCACATCGAAACTTTCGAGATCGTCGCAGTCAAAGTCGTGAGTTCTTGCCGATCCTTATTTGGTTGAGATTTAGTAGAATCTGTTCTCTTGATAATAATTAGGTTAACTGAGTTGTCTGTTAAAATTCATTATGATACCTAAGCTCAGGTTTTGTTTCAGCTGAAGTAACTTTTGACTCCCAGAACTAAAATGAGGTCTCTTTTGCTATAATTTGGACTTAATAGACAGTTACAAGTTTATGGCAACTTAAGAAAAATGCTTTACCTGAGCATGATTTTTTCTAGTAATTTTCGCATGAATGGAAACAAAATTCTTGTTTGTGTCTGTGCGGAGCTTCTGAAAAAAAAAAACCTTTCAAATTTAATTTTGTCTATTCAATTTTTTGACCTCATAATTAGTCAGTTGGTTTAGGTACAATAAGTTCGAATTCCTTGAATCTAAGTTTCTTTAACTAGTTTCTTTGTCATTTGTACTCAACTTATCTTAAACTATACTCACTATCCACAGGAAAATAACAAGACAAAACACCCGCAGTTACTTTATGAGGCCAAGCTCTACAACATTCTGAATGGAGGAAGTATGTAATTTTGCAATTGACATTGTCATAAATCTGCTTGTATTGTATGGGTCTGATTGATTTGAGCTCACGCAAACAGGCGGTATTGCGAATATAAAATGGTGTGGTGTTGATGCGGAAGATAATGTTCTTATTCTCGACTTGCTTGGGCCAAGTCTTGAAGATCTCTTTGTCTACTGTGGAAGAAAGTTCACTTTGAAAGCTGTTATAATGTTGGCGGATCAAATGGTAATAAAAATTAGAATCTAAAATGGTGGTATAGCCCTTATAATGACTAATATGTAAAGTTTTGAGGTGCTATTCTGGTTTTTTAGGTTCAATATTCAATTTCATACTTAGGAATAGATATTTTTGGATACACATGATTTTATATTCTCACGAAAAACCTGCAATTTATGAGTGTGAAGCATGCATGTATAGCTAATTATTTGTTGAGGGCTGAACGTGATCAAGTTGCATGGAATCTGGCAGAGCCTAATGATTTCATCTTGTGTTCCTGTAGTTTTTCTTGTTGTTGTGGTATGAAACCATGACCAGAGGTGTGTAAATTAAGGAAAAATATATGTATACATAAGTATGTATATGTATGTATACATATATGTATGTATATGTAGGTGTATGTATATGTATGTATATACATGTGTATGTATATATATGTATATATACATATATGTGTATATGTATACATATATGTACATATGTATACATATATGTACATATGTATATGTGTGTGTGTGTGTGTGTGTGTGTGTGTGTGTGTGTGTGTATACAAGCTGATGTATAATAACAGATTTTTTTTGTATTAACATTTCCTTTTAATACAGAGAGAAACCGATACTAAGAAATAAAATTGATTTTGCTTTAGAGTGGCACTTGTTGATTCGGGTATTCATTTATTTTGGATATATTTTTCTATCCTGATCTTCAAATAGATAATACTGAGTGCCTTATCCATTGGCTCCAGATTTCAAGAATTGAATACGTGCATTCAAAAGGTTTCTTGCATAGGGACATCAAACCTGATAACTTCCTCATGGGTCTCGGTCGAAAAGCAAATCAGGTAGTTACTTGGTGGAGTCTGTTTAGTTTGTAAGTTTTTATAATGCTAACTTTAAGGCAATCTTATTCCTTGGTATCTTTATCTAGGTCTACATGATTGATTTTGGGCTTGCAAAAAGATATCGAGACTCCACCACCAATCGCCACGTACCATACAGGTATTGAGTTATTCTTGAGTAATGTAATTTTGTCTGCTGAATCAATCATATTTGTTTCCCCCTTTTTTTCACATAATATATTGGGCATATGTACTAAATGAAAAACTCTTTATTTCAACATAAAATTTGTTTTTTGTGAGATTCCCCAGAAGTTAACTTTTTATTGAAAAGACTGTGGGTTGAATAAGTTCAAGTTTCTTTTCTCTTGAAGGTTGCAACTATAAGAGAACCTGATTTTATGTAATCCAAAAGGACAACCTATTTAATAACTGTTGTGGCTATGTAGTGGCACCCGAAACTTGGTGAAGTTAGGTTTTGATAGTTGAAAGTGGTGGCTAAGGTTTTATTGTTTGGCAGGTAAAGAAAGCAGAGGTGTAAGAGTCTTTACTCCCTTTTAGTTTCAGCTGGATAAGACCACGCTGTATGGTTGGAGTTTAGATTTCACACTAGAGACAAGCACTAACACATGCATAACCATAATCAAGTAAACTGCAGCTAATTAACTTATAAAAGTTTGATAATTTATATTTATAAGTCATAATATATACCAAAAGAAGAATCAAAACTCCTAATTCTAACTACATTGACATAAAAAAAGTCTAAATAAAACATATCTAAAAAAAATAATGAAGATTTGTTCTACTATTAACTAGACATGGATTTCTAATCTTAGCTGTACTAGGATTTCTTCTGGTTTTAGATTGATTTGTTTACTCTTTAACTCCTTCAGTTTCATATAAAGTTTAAGGATAAGGTTGTTCCACATTAAATCTTCCCTGATCGAGAAAATTTGATCTCAACTTTTGAAATGCAAAAGAATGAGGGACTGAGAATTCACAATGATGATCTATAATGCAAAAAAAGTTTTAAAAAAAAGCTGGGATGATGAAACATGAAACTTGAGTACAAAATTAAATATGAATAATCTCATGAATCATGTTATGATTCTTCAATCTTCGGCATGGATGTGACTGGAACTAAATCAGGATACGAGACATGCTTGGCTGGCACATATTCATTGAATCATTATGGACATGAGCTGAAAACATTACAGCATCAACAGTTGCTGACTTCTCAAATACATAAGACTCCTGCTCATAAATAAACACTACATGATCTAATAACAAGTTGGGATTCTGTTAGTGATGATTTATTAATTATTTTTTCTCTAGCTTTTGGATGACTATACACTTGCAATGTCTAAGGAACAAAAGAGAGGAGAAATTCCTTGAATCTGTTTGATTACAAGTATCATAACAATTTCCATTAACGAGAAAAGATTTTCTCCATTGCAAAATCATATATCTTTAATAAAACTCTCTTTTGTTGGCAAAATAGAGGCACCTAGATTGGGTGGAATGAGAAGATTATTATGGGAATTTGATAGTGTAAACTGATGGTTGGAGTTGAATTGGTATTTGGCCAAGGAAAAATGAAGATAGGTCCAAGGGCTTCATGTCCACTTATCCAAATAAAACAAATATAATACCAACTGAACTAGTATCGGAAACGAACCAAGTTGCCCAATGAAAAACCCAATTGATGCGAAACAAATGTATATTCCAAGCTTAACTATATTAGGATGCTTGAATCACAACTAGACTAGGAATCTTTTCCACAAAATGAGGCATAAATTGTGTTGTTTTTATCTTTTCATCCTTAGCAATTCTCTTATTGTGAACTCGAGGACATGATACACATCACATCTATCCTGACTGGAGTAAGTTTGGCCTCAAGTTCTGAAACCTCAAGTTTTGAAATGTACAAGGGTGAAAAATGAAGAACGTGCTAGAAGCAATTGGTTGCCTCATTTCATTTGCCGAAAGATGATTTGCTAAAAGCAGTAAAGGTGGGGAGTTGGGAAGGCCAATGATGACAATGAGGGGGAGATGTTATAGAAGCTTTGCCCATTGCTGTATAAAAATTGTGATGAATACAAATTTGAATGTCAGCTTCAAGGGAATTTTAGTTTTCTATTGCTGAAAAAGGGATTTTACAAGGAGCAATCCCATTCTGAGGAGTACATGGACTGAGACTCCATGCTTAAATTAATTTGGTGTTCTAAATCCAATTCGTTATGTCTCATGATCTACAATTCTTTTGAATTTAGATTCTTGGGCATTGAAGAAGCCTTTTACTTAAAGGCTCACCCTCTTTTTGAAGCTCCTGGTTCAGTTTAAATGGTTGATTTGATCTAATAAAAAGATATTCTTTGAGGGCCCTAGTTGTCATGGTGTGGGACTTAACAGCATGAGGCCACAAGCTATTTCTTGGTTAGTTTGAGGGCACAAAACTATTGAGCTCGATTGTCTGAGCTTTATCAGGTTCTATTATGTGGTCAGTTATATCATATCAAATGTATTTGGGATGCTACTTTTGCATTAATTCCTCTGTGATAATCACGTGCCTGCACAAGTGAATTGGTGATTATGTTGTACACTAGCTACGAAAACTTTGATTTAACTGGCATTGGTATTTTGTGTTTTGTTTATATAGCAAAGCTTCTTTTCTGTTTTCTTTTCCAGTGATTCATTAATTATCATTTCATCGGTGACTCCCCCTTTCAACACTCTACCCATATTTTTTGATTGAAAGTTCTATCTCTGAATTTGCACCTTCTATTAACTGATTACACACCTTTCTGATTCAGAGAGAATAAAAATTTAACTGGCACTGCTCGCTATGCAAGCTGCAACACTCATCTTGGCATTGGTAAGCAACAACAGGCACACCACTTTTGGTTTTTGTTTGGGCCAAACATTCTAATGTTTTCTGAAATTTGTTATTAGAGCAAAGCCGTCGGGATGATTTGGAGTCACTTGGCTATGTTCTCTTGTACTTTCTAAAAGGAAGGTATGTCTCTATTTCTGGGAATAATTTGATCGCTCATCTTTGCCTTCAAGATTGATTATTTGCTTTAGTCTTTACCTTCTTACACGGATTACTTTTAGTAATAATTCTTTTTATTAGCTTGGTAGGATTTCATATACAAATGGACATAGTTTGAGAATCTGAATGTTTCAAATAAGGCTTAGTTGCGCTATAAAGTTCATTGTTTTAAACATCCCCTACATATCCGATATATTAGCAGATTATCCTTTTGTAAGGCCTGCTGCAGAACGATATGGCTTCGATATACCGCTTTGTGGCAGTTTTGAGCAATATATCATGAATTTCCCAGTATTCCAGGTGACTTAACGTCCTCAAAAAATTGGTTGGAATATTGTAATGTCGATTGGGATTTTATTTGTTTCGAAAGATTGGTTTGGATTCATAGTTAAATATATGCTTATGTAAATAACTGTGAAGAAGAAAGAGATCAAAATTAGACCAAAATTTTTGGCAAACGTTTTGCAAAATATATCATCTTTCTCCATAGATCCATTTTTTGGTGCACCAAGTATTAACATCTGCGATATGTAAATAGACATTGTCCGACATCCCAATATTTATTAACTATCTCTGATACATCCCCGATATCTGCCATCCAAAATGGAAAGTTCAATCCTATATATCCCTGATATGCGATATTTGAAACACTGATAAAGTTAATTTTGTCTGAAGGGAATATAGCTAAATTTTGCATTAGGTGTTTGAATCGAACTCATAATGCATGCAAGTTTAGATTCTTTGGGAGTACAATGGATGGATCATGCGAAATGATTCTGTATATTGATTTTTGTTTCAGTCAGATTACCTTTGGATATTATTTATTGCTTTATCAAATTTACCTTTTTTACTAGATTTTGCTCGTTTAGTTGTTGCATATTCAGCTATTAGTTGTACCAACTAATTGAGATTTTTCCAACTAACTGAGGTTTTTCAACATATAGCTTAGCAAGATTTGTTAAAGTTCTTACTAAATAAACTCACATAATTGATAGGTATTAAGATGCAGTTGATGAGGCAGGTTTTAAACTAAAACTGAAAAGGAACAACACATTATATAGTGTATATAAGCATATGCTTCTTCATGCTATTGTGAATCTGGTGTTGATGTTGAATAGACATCCGAGGATTTGTTACCTTCTCAAGGTCAAAAGGTAGACTTTCCACACAGAGAGGGAGGGGGAGGGAGGAAGGGAGCTTATGTAACCTGGATACTTCTATCTGAGCTGTACGCGTTGCGCTGTACCTGTATCCGACACGTACCTGTACTCACAACACTCCTAGCATATATGCATACATTTTCTTGGGTATGTACTCAATTATACGATACATTTTAATTTAAAACACTTGCCATACACTTATTGAACGTATATCCTACAATTCACATGCACTTCCTGAAACTCGTTGTACACAGTTTAGAATCTGAACTATGATTTTAAAAAGTCATTTGGGCTTCTAGCTGAAAACTAAGCGGTTTTTTAATTTATAATCCACATAATAAAAGAAACATAAAAATATTATAGGATTTTAATTCTCATGACACATGAATGAACAACAATTCTGAAATCATGTAAATTATTAATTCAATATTAATATATATGTATAAAAAAATACTTCTATAGCTGTATCCCCATACCCTACCTTTTACGAATATGCCATGTCCTGTACCGATACCCGTTTCCATGCAACATAGGAGAGAACAGATTATGTTTTATGCTTTTGGCAAAGTTAGACTTGTTATATTTGTGAGAATTCAGTACATTAATGTGATGCACGTTGTCTTATGTTTTTTGTGCATTTTCTGTTATATTTTGGTTGTTTTTTGAGAGTTGTCTAAAATTTCATGCTTCTTACTGTTAAAATCTCTGCTCATGAATTGAGCTTCAGTTACTGATTTTACTATGTGAAGTCTTCCATGGCAGGGTGTAAAAGCGGCCACAAAAAAGCAGAAATATGATAAGATACGTGAAAAGAAGCTGTCAACTCCGATTGAGGTATGTGTTGTCAGCTTCCAGGACTGTCCTTGGCTAGACAGCATAAACATTCCTGAACCACTAGTTCATATTCTTGTAATAGGTTCTATGCAAATCTCATCCGGTGGAATTTGCCTCTTACTTCCACTACTGCCACTCTTTGACATTTGATCAACAGCCTGATTATGGCTTTTTGAAGCGCCTATTCCGTGAGTTGTTTACTCATCAAGGTAGTGTTCAATCAATTTGCTGCCCAGTATACATTTGATATGTTATTAGTAGGTGACGGGTCCAGTCTTCATAAACCTAGATTAGTTTTCTGTATTTGCTGATGCTCAAGAATGTACCTAACTCTTAAAGATTTTATATACACTTTATTGGACTGTCATTCTTGCAATGGAATTTCCTTATGATAACTCCAACTTGTAGATATAAGAATAAGAAAAATATGGGAAGAAGTATATGTCAATAAGAAAAACAATGCATATTTTCCCCTCTAAATTTTTTAATTCCTAGCAATTCATGAAGTATGTCAGTGCGATTGTTAGGTACTCCTTCGAATTGTCATAGTTATCACGGCATGTGTATAGCCAATGCCCTGATTTCAACCATTTTCATAGGTTTTGGGCCAGTTGCAAGTTGGGGCACTTTGAGTCTTTGACGCTTCTTTGATGGAATTTAATGGTCTTTTTAAGTAAAATGGTATTTCAATTAGCTATTCTAACTAAATCTACCGAGATTATTTTAATGGAGAAAAGAGGAAAAATGGCGTAATTGGACTCACTTAAAGCTGATGTGTGAAATTTCATATGCTCTGATATTACTTATGCATCTACCAAATCTGGGAAACTCACGACTGTTAGTTGGCAAGCCATGAGCATGGAGTGAACTGGGTAGCCAGAAAGCCAATTTTGGCCAAGGTCAGTGGAGATTGTAGGGATTCTCAATATGGTTTGAAGCATTGACTACAAAAATTTTAAGCATGCTGATCTGATTCACTGAAAAGTTGTTGATACCATAGGTATGGGTTAATAACAAGTAACAACTGGTAGTGGTTGACTGGTAATAATAATTAATATATTAGGAAATTTGAGTTTAAGATCTGAAAGTAATAAGTTGAGGAAAAATAAAGAAGAAATAAATAAGTAGAAAGTTTATAATTACCTTATGCACTTATATTGCTGACCAATTTTTTTTCAAAATTTTAAAAATTCTTGGTACCCGTATCAACACAGGACAACTGAGACCAAGACACCTAGATTTCAACATTGATTCTCAGAATTTTTGGTTCCTCCAAAAGACTTAAAAGTCAAAACTTATGGTTGACATTCAGTGAGTCTCATGTTTTTGTGAGGTTGCAGAGTTCTATATTAAAGGAGACCTTTCCTAAAGTTGTGGGTGAATTTGATTTTCTGTTTCCTGTTTTGTCATATCAGGATATGACTTCGACTATGTTTTTGACTGGACTGTCTTAAAATATCAGCAAAACCGAAGTTCTAAGCCTCAGACTCGACTTTCTGTAAGTATACTGTACATATTGATCTCACTAAGAGATTGTTTTTTATTCTGTTTATTTTCTTTCCTTCCTCTTGTATGGAAGACGAAGTTCTCGATTGTTCATCACTGCAATCAAAAGTTAGAGAATATTAGTGTATTATTGTTCCTTTTAACTGATGAGAATTATTGCCTCACATGGTAGCCAGCTCCAGGTGGGATAAGACATCGAGTGACACCGTTGAATCTTGACAAGCAACAAGGTGATAAGATTTAAGTATCGGAATAGGGTCTTTTAATTTCATGTAATTGGTAGTGGATACCAGTTCTGTAATTTTCATCCCAATTATGCCAGTTTAGTTTCTTCTAACCAAGAAATTTCAATCCATGTAGTAATCATGTATATTGACCTGTAATTAACTCAATTTTTGTAATCTAAAACAGGGAGGTAACTGCACCTTGAGTAATGCTAGGTAAATATAGCAGCAGTAAGTACCTTCATGATTATAACTCTAGATATATCAATCAGGCAGTAGGACTTTGAAAATAGGTTAAAATCCCAAATATGGGCTTGCAATTATGCGAATTATACTCCTTAGGAAGAAAACACTTTGATTTACAATTCTACATTGAATTAGGATTTCGAAATGATAAATAGGACCCTAGCAATAAGGTTAAATCACTTGATGTCAAGGCAGCACAAGTTGATGTGTTGATAATAAATTTAGACTGTGAACTTGGTTGGTAATGGGCAAAAATCTGGATAAAAGTGGAGATTATGAGAAATAAAGGCCAAATTAACTACAAATTGGGCATGTGCCACTTCAAGGGCCAAGGGCATTGAAGACCACTCCTTTAGTGTCTTCTGTAATGGTCAGAACTTATGCGGTTCTTATACCATTGTGTTTTCATAGTTATAATCAACTTCCTCTATGTTATAATGTCAAATACATATGATCTTCCCACTTGGACCTTTTAATATTTATGAATGTGAATCAAAGAAAAACAGTTCGCAGTGTATATAGCGGAGTGTTAGACTAAGAAAAGTTTATGGTAAGTAATTAATGGTGAATTGCATCCATTTTAACATGTACCCTTTCACAAATCAAAATTTGCCTTAGAAATATAAAATTTTCATTGCATTTTTTTATTTGCACTTGCATTTACAAGTGCCATGAAGTATATGATTCATTGTAGTATGTTTGTGTGGTGGTTTATGCCTCGACTGGAGGACGAAGTTACAAAATAGTTTACAACATAACAATGCATAGAGAAGTTTGAAGCTGAGTAAAATGAGAAGGGAATATGCTGTCACTGATGTTGTCCAGGTCCACCATATAACGTAACTGGTTATGAATTCAGAAAAAAGCATACAGACTCATAAAGTTTGTCACTGTCAATATCTCCAATATTATAGTCTGTTGACTGACGCTTTTATCAGTCTGTTGACTGACGCTTTTCCCATAGGTCATACCTGCCAAAAATATTCTAGGTGCGTAAACATATATCTGATAACAACACTGTCAATATAGTATTATAGTCTTAAAAAATAATGTCCAGCGTAAATATTAACTATGAAGGCCATTTATTGGGAAACAAACATGTGCATAGTTAAGTTGAAGTGATACATCCACTTGTAACATTCTTGCCTGTCTTGCTCTATTTTTTTTTTGTGTATAGGTGACTGATTGTTTTGTTCAACAATGTGGCAGATGAGGTGAAAGAAAACATAGGACCAAGTAGCATTATGCGTCCTCCAGACCAGATGCAGTTCAAACATTCAGCTGATAGGCATTTGAATTTTGATAATCAGTATCTTGAAGAAAAGGTTAGACACAATGAGTTCCTTCAGTTCAGTTGCAAAATCAAAATGCTTGACTTATGTAGTTGAGAAGCTGCGTTACAACCAAAAAAAAAGAGCAATAACCTTTGATTGTCAAATATACATAAACCACCTTTAAAATGTTTTTTGTTGCAATCAACCACATGTGCGCACTTTTCAATTAAGTTCCCCCCCTCTAAGTGGCCTCACCTAACCTCAATTAAGGATTATCTCTAATATACTTGGTATTTGACAACTAATTATTACAACAAAGTCAAAAAAGACTTGAGTTAGAATTGAGTTCAAGTGGTTGATTGCAACCAAAAACACTTTAAAGGTGGTTTGGTTTATATATATATATATATAGATTAATGAGTATCCTTGTCATAGGAGGGGATTTTCCTCCTTGTCACCTATGTAGCACAATCCCCACCATCCTCATAAAGTATGCATAATTCTCTACCAACTCACACTCTCTCTTACTTTATGATGATGGTGTGGATTCTGCCCCATAGGCGTCAAGGAGAAAATCCTCTCCTATGATAAGGATACCCATTAATCTCATATATATATATATATAGTAATATTATAAATATAGAGAGAGAGAGAGAGAAGAGAGAGAATATGGGTATGCTTGGTACTAAGCAGCAAAAAAGTTGTGCTTGGTAGTGAGGTGTCACATCTCCTTCACTCATTCAAATATGGGACCACATTCATATGGGTAATGAGTGGATGAGGATGTGAACATCACTACTAAGCACAAAATTTGTGCTTGGTACCAAGGATACCTATATTTCTCATATATATATATATATATATATATATTTTACTATATATATATATATATATATATCATTTTCCCTTTTTTAAAAGTACGAGTTCGGAAAAATCTTTCTATGTCAATGTTATTCTTAACTTTTTTTAAATATTACATTGTTATCCTATTCTAATTATCACATCTTCTTTGAATTAGTAACTAAATGATTTATCATATTCATAATGAGACTTAACATGTTATTAGATAAAAAAAAATACGTTTCTATAATTCAAATCCTTTACTTATTTCAGTTCGCAGAAATTCAAAATTTATAAAGAATACCTTAAAAATTTCAAACCTATAAACATATTAAAAACCTACAAATAACACAAACAACCCCCGAAAATTTACGAAATTTGCAATAAACACTGAACTTTTTACAAATTACAAAATAAAATCCTCAAAATTTTAAAATTTACAAAAATCCAGATAATTTCTAACCTAATAGTACATTGAAAATATAGGAATTACAAATATCTCATACATAATTTATAATTTATATAAACACCCTTGAAATTTCAAAAAATACAAACAAAACCTTAAAATTTAAAGTTTACAAATAACACCCCGAGAATTTCAAACTCATTAGTAAATTGAAAGTATATAAATTATAAATGGTCTACAAACAATTTACAATTCGTAGAAAAGGCCTATAAGTTTAAAAAATTACAAACAGCCCAAAAATTCATAATTTATAAAAAACACCATGAGCATTTCTAACCTATAAACACTAAATTGAATATACAAAATTATTAACAACCCCTAGAAAATTAAAATTTTATAAAAAATATCATACTTTAAAAGTATAGGTTTAGAAAAAACCTTTCATGGTCAATATTTTTCATAACTTTTTTAAAAAGAACATAAATGATTAAAAATCTATTAAATTTGAAATTTACAAAAAAAAACATTAAAGTTTAGCACATTACAAATTACCCCTCTAAAGTTTAAAATTTTTCAATAATGTTTTATAAATTTTAATGTAGTAGTTTTGTGTATTTGTAAATTACAAAATTTAAGGGTGTTTTTTTACAATTTTTAAAAATTTTTAGGGTGTTTTTTTTATAGTTTTCCAAATTTTCATTGTGTTTTCAGTGTAATGTATAGATACGTCAATTAATGATGATATTGACGAGTAAGTCGTTCTTAAGATTATTAGGCCATAGAGTGTACAACACATCGATGTTCGTAAGCAGTGTAATTTATATATGCAAATTTTTTTCAGACAATCTATATAGTGGTTAAAAAGATTGACTCTAATGTACTTTTTTTATAAATAATATTTAATGTGAATCAACCATATAATTTTGACTATAATCATCATAATTATAATACGTTTGATTGATTAATTATGTAGGCATATAGACCATAGATTGTTTTACTTTCTCACATAAACTAATATTTGACGCTTAATAATTTAAAGTATTACTTTTAAATTTAATACAATTTTAATTCTTATTTTTTGCTTGAGATTTATTTCATAGTTACGCGTATTAAATTAGTAACTAAAATAATAATTATTTATTCTTAAATTAGGATGATTGTCGTTGGTCACTCACTATGAAATTTTCATGAAGATATACACCTTACTTTATATAACTATTTGCACCGCCCATATATATTTTATAAATTAGTTGTTAATTTGATATATTAAATTATGTTTCATTTGTAGAATTTTTTTTTTGACTTTTGGATTGTGTAATCATTGCATCATCATTCTAACGTAGAAAGAGCCTCGTCTTAAATGACTTCAAGCCAATGTTTGAGTTGAACTGAAGTATATACTATTGCTACTATGTTTATATATTTTTTAAAAAAATTGTCAACATTTTTTAAACATAAGAGAATATTCTAACCTCTGATATTATAAAAACTAAATATGGCCAATTGAGTGATTAGCAAAAGAGAACTTACATCAGAAAAACGTGAATAATGGCTATAGTATTACAAATAGCAAACTACAATATAAACTTAACCTATTTTGTGGAGTCCAACTATTGGCTATAAGCATTAATGTTTCCATATATATACTTTATAATTTATTAAAAAGGGTCATATAATCTTATAAAATAAAATTGATTTAATATTAAATAGTAATATCGTTATAATAATATCGTTATTAGGGAAAATTATTCATGAACCAATATGTTCTTTACGATAAATTAGCTATGCATTCTAAATTCTTGTGCCTTTTATAGAGTCAAAAAGTTTGAATACGAGCCTCTAACATATTGCTCTCATAACATCAAAATCTACTTAGCAGATGTAGATATTCCAGATGAGTTATACGTCCTATATACAATACAATTGTCCTAGACAAGTGAGTTATAATAGTATCTTTCATTCACATCGTTTAGAGTATGATTTGATAGGGACCTTACATCAAAGGAAAAAAATTTATATTTAGAGCACATGGCGAAATATATCATAATCTCCCTGTTTTAATTTCGCAAGAAAATAATTTTTCATACTTTCAGTTTTACTTCTATGATACAAAGAATGAACTATAAAATTGAATGAGAATATTAGATAATGTAAATATGAGTGAAATCATAACTTAAAGTTAATGTGAATGAGTCAAACCACTACTAAAAGTTTAATGAATATATTGCAAATAAATTCATATAAAAAATCCTTTACGAATTGCATGATCACCTATTTTTTGAATACTTCAAGATACTAATAAACAGAGATGTACTAGATTTATGCATTTATAGTAGACTACGTGGTCACAATTTGGGTTGAAAGAAACAATGACGATATTTCAGTTGAGAGAGAGATTAATGAGTTGATCAATTTCACAAAAAACTTTATTTTTTTTAATTTTATTCTATTTTTATTAATTTAAAAAATCATGATATTTAACCACGTGCATTGCACGTGCATCTCAACTAGAGAGAAATGGGTATGCTTGGTACCAAGCACAAATTTGGTGCTTGGTACTTAGGTGTCACATTCTCATCTACTCATTGTCATTCCCAACAACTCCTCAACCCATGTAAGTATGGGCCCCAATTTCAATGAGTGGAGGGCAATGTGACACCTCACTACCAAGCACCAATATATATAAATTGACAATCAAAGGTGGTTCCTACAGAATGACCCTATTTTAAAGGTGATTGCTATGAAAAAAATCCCTTTTAAATGGGTATGATGTTGATCAAACACTTCATCTGGTTGGATGTCACTTGATATGATTTCTCTTTCAAATGCAAGATGTATAGTAAAACAAAGTCAATGTGCCAACTTTGTTGCATTAGGAACATAGTTTAGAACATACTAATATTTGATTTTGAGGTATGTTTTTCCCAATGTTTTAGAAGGGCTGTTGGAACAGATATGCTTCAGGAGTTCATGATCAGCATTTGAACTATCAAATTCATAACAACTTATGTTAGGTTCTCCTGACATGGGAAAAAACATTATAGCTTCAATCTGTTTTTCCCAAGTTTTAGAGGAGTTGCCGAAACAGATATGTTTCAGGAATCAACGGTCATATTTTGAACTAGCAAAGTTAGACCAGCTTACATCAAGTTCACCCAATATAGGAGGAAAAACTTTATAGCTTTAATAATTTCTGACTGAAACTGATGCATGAAAATTTTGAAGATTAAATTAAAAGGAATTAGGATTAGTAATATTTTTTTTTGTAATGGGAAATCTTAATCAGGCAACCCTTACACCCAAAGGGGAGCTCAAGTTCGAGCCCTCTGCCATCAAGACTCGATCGTTTCAACAGAAGCCCGGTGAATTGGGGCCCAGCTCAAATCCTTCTAATTTCAAGAAACCTGACAGCTTATGATGTTCATGTTCATTCTTCCAGTATATACTGCTTAAAAGCATTTGTTGGAGTGTTTTACTTATTGGAGCATAACAGCCAAAAATAGTTAACAAAAAATTGCCAAAATTTTAACCTTCTGTAGCAACCCCAATACAAATATGATGAAACTATCTGCAAGTTTTACATATTTTGGAAGAATGATCATGATCTGACTTTTATTTCTTTTTTTTATTGTACAATATATTTCCCCTTATTTGTTTGGTCCATCTCACATGTTTGCTTTTGTGCGCTTTTGTGCTACTATGTAGAGCTTGGGCCGTCAAGCCTTGGCTTATGAGTAGGGGCGCTAAAAAATATGTATCCTCAAACATATTTGTATTCATATCCATTAGGATATGGTTATTAAAATCTATGACCGATAGAATATTGTTGCAGATATGGTTGTGAAATATCCGGATCCATATCCGCATTATCCGAATATATGTTGATCATACAATTGCAATTGTTTAAATCCTTAGATTAATTGATTTGAGGCTTATTTTGATGATCAAAAGATATAATCTTAGTTTTTCAGATATAACAAACATATTAATGAATTCTCTTGTATCATACAAACTGTATATTTTTCAATATTATTTGGTTTTCTCATACCCGTTTTGGATCCACATGCATATTTGCATATATATCTACATGTGGACCCATATCTGGTGTGAACGGATATGGATACGAGTTTTCCTTACTGTGCATATCCATATCTTTATCCACGATTAGCAAGCGGATACAGATACAGTTCATATCCAAGCTGTATCCGATCCATTAACACCCTCACTTATGAGGAGTGAGCTTCCGTACGTTGAGTGAAGGAGAGAATTTTGGATTAAAGAATTATTAGATCTGAGATATTATAGGCGAGCAAAAGTGGGCATTGTTGTTGCGCCTGTAGTGCTATCATTGGTGTGAAAGATTGTCACCAAAAAAGTGCTCGAGTTGCCAAACCTATATACTTTCCCTTTGTTAATATTTCAAATATTGATGTTTAATGAGGAATATGTGTAACCAAGTTATATAAACTGTTCTGAATAAATCAACAATTTCTGGTGCATCCAGATAATATATCCTTTCGAGGCTTCTTCTGCCTCTTTTTTGATATGTAGTGTGAAGACTGAGGAGAACATCCTTCTCATGATAAACAACTACAACCATCATCATGTTTCTCTCAATTTCTGAATTTATATACTTACTTTCTGGAAATTTTACATTTGTGAATTCCTCTTTCATTTGTATTTTTCTAATCACAACTTTTTGCCTCCTTCAGAGAGTAGGCATAAATGTGGACAAAGTCAACAAGGTATCTGCATCTTCATCATTTGCTCTTTCCAATGCGCCAACCAAAAACATTATAGGCTCAAAACCATCAGGATCTACTGATCCTTCACATCTTGGTCAGGCTCTGCAAAGCAATTTTGGTTCCTCAAGTACCTGGATTCCTATATTAAGGAGAAATGCATCTGCAAAATGATTGGTAAGCTAAAACACTGATTTTTATTTTCATTTCTTTAGCAATAAGATGTCTAAATAATATTAAAATACATACATGCCATGGACAGCTTAGCATGTCCTATTGAGCTTTTATGATTTATGTGTCAGTGTAAGATGGTTCATTTATGGTTGTGGTACGAAGGATTCTGACAAAGATGCAATTTTCTGTTAACTGATTACTGTTTCCGCATATATTATTTTAGGCAATTTTAGGTTATTTGTTGCTTTATTTATTACCTTTTTTGTTTTGATGAATACACGCAACAGAATATCATTCCTGACATCATATTGTGAAACCAAAATAAAGTGGCTTTTTTTTGGGAAAGTAGAATCTAACGAAAAGGAAAAATTTTAGAAACCCTAGAATTGTGGGCATTCATTATGCGGATATACTGCGTAGTCTTGGGTTTGTTTTTGTTGCACATCAATGGACATGCTATACGTTAGGAGATGGGATCATGGTTGGTCAGTGTTTACACTCACAGGCGTGTATATATTGTTTCTCCAACGTCTTTGGAGTATGTGAAACATACAATTCACGTACCTGGTGTATTTTATATTATTTCTTGTAGACATTTTTTTATGTGATTTGCTTTGGTTGAGTGCCTGTCTTGCTTATTGTTAGGGTAGGGCTGAGGGAGCTGACTGATACTAGAAGAATGTATTCCAGCACTCGTGGTGAGATGTTTGCCCGCATTGTTGCTTAAGCTATTTCTGGAAAAAGGATGCATAGTTTGCCTCTATTAAAGGTGACTACAGAGAACCGATCGTGTTGAATACTGCCCTCTGGAAATGCATGATTGCTGTTTTTGATTACTACATCAAGTAACTCTTGCTGATCTAGCATTTTATGGTCTTGTATAACATGGTGATATGTGACTATTCTGTTTAGTTTTCTGTTTATAGATAATAAGGCTTTGTCCTGCTTGCCTTTTGGGTTTCTTAAAACTTTTTGCTCTGTGAGCTTGTTTTATTTAGAGAATGCAGTCCCTTTTGTATTTATTCTCTCTGTATTCTTTAGTCCAGGTCCCAGATAGCCATCTGAATTAAATTACCAGTAGGCACCTGAGAGTTTCAGCCTTTGATAGATAACATTAAACTAGAGTTTGAGGTGCCATGCTGCTCTGTGCTTATGTGTGGATTTTCATTGGATACTGTATGTTGTTGCACGTAAGTTGATAAGTAGCATTAAAGCGTACTTTATGTGATTTGTTGCTTTTAATCAAGTCATAGCATTTGTCTCTTATACAAATTTTCTCCTCACCAGAATGAGAAAGCTGTGAAGAGGCGATGCTTATGGAGATTCCAGTTTCAAAGCACAGAACACCGTTTGTGTACCAAGTAGCTTCACATGGAGAGAAGGGCTCATTTTTTTCAATGTTGAAGAGCGACAGGTTTTTTACATTGATTGTTGAGCTGTCATGCGTCAGATTGAACGTCTTTCCTAAAGTTTCCTCCCTCTTTTGGTTTTACCATTCAACGTTACAATACCAAGTTTTCAGGATCCATTAACCATTCACTGTTCTTGGAATTTTGTGATCATCAAAGAGATAAAATAATAGAAACGGTAGATGGAAGCCTGGGAGGTTTAGTAGTCAGGGTATTGAAGTATTATTATTATTATTATTATTATTATGGCTAGAAAAGCAAACAGGAAGCACATAAAAATAGCTCAGCAATCTTGTAGTTGCTGCTTTATTTATTTATTTATTTATTATCAGGATTAGGCCTTTAAACCCTTTCGGAGAGAAGGGAGTAGGCCCTTAAACCCTTTCTAGATGAGTCCATTGACTCCATTGATCAAATTTTCAGTTTGAGATGCTCATAGGCTATTTTAGCAGGAACCGAAATCAGCTGCATGGCTGTAATTCGATGAAAATATGCCTATATTGATCTGAAGAATGTAATTGGGATCGTATTTATTCAGTTTTAACTGCTAGCTTCTTAAGGGCCTCATTTATGTATAAAGATGCTGAGTTTACTTCAACAGTCTTGAGCTTTTAGCTGCATGAGTTCTTTGTCAAACTTCATTTCTCGAGTGCAGAAGTGTTTTTACTGGCGTTAATTTTTATTTGATCTAATTACTTGTTTTAGTATTTCATGCTTGTGCCACGAAATCTGTCGTACTTTTGGACTAAAGAGGAAAATACTTTCTTACCGTCTAAGGACTTTGCATTCTTACTCAACAAATGTTTACATTTCTGAAGAATTGAAGTTCACGGTGTCTCTCTCTCTCTCTCTGTCGGATGTTAAGTCTTACTTTTGTTCGGGATTGTATAAATTTATTTTTATCTTTAACTTTGGGAAGTAGAAGCTGAATGCTGATGCCATTTATGACGGCTCGAACTTGGAAATTTCTTTTGTTGGAGACACAAATTTAGCAAGTACAGTTGCTTCAAGCAGGCATTACTAAAAACGAGATGCTTAGAATGAGTATGGAAATGCATATTTTGGTCACTATATCTCAGACAAGACTAATTCTGACAGAGAAATCTAATAAGATGGATTATGAAACAAGGGACGTCTGTATGCTATCTACTGACAGAAAAACACGATTATGAAACAAGAGATGTCTCTTTGCTAGCCGCTGATAGAACAAGAAAATATCGAGTATCATTTGGTCTCATACTTGGTCCCATGAATATTGGATTTAAAAGAGGAAGGAAAAAAGAAAGAAAGAAAGAAAAAAAAATAAAATAAAAAAGGAAGGGCTCACACTTTAGAAACTCTATTGAAAGAGAGGTCGTGGTGACTTGAGCACAAGTACTTGATCGGAACTTATCGAACCCAGCCTATTAGAGATACGCGTGACCAATGTTATCCATCTTGCTCGCATCAGAGCTAAGGATCGTTCGGGTTGATTAAAAAGCTCTTTTCTGAGTGTTGCGGTTGGTAAATTTTATCGACTTCTAATTCCCTCTAATATAAGTGAAGGGCGCCTATATATATGTGCTTGTGGTGAATGATGATGACAACGGTTATTAGAAGTTTCTAATTAAAGGTTATTGACAGTTAAATGCATCTTTTGTAAAGTTTTAATAGTCAACATAACCTCTGTGCCTGTCGAAAGCAAAACCTTACGGCTCGGTAAGCAGATATGACAGTGAACATTTAGTTCATGGAGCAGATAAAGGTTATTTTTGAACTTTTAACTTCTTCAATTGATCCTTTGATCTCCTCGATTATTATTTTGTCATTATTTGAGCCCCCCCATCCAATTCATGTAGGTGCGATGCCACGCGTGCGCGCATGCATAAAAGAGAAGTGCCACGTAGGCAGCTTCGTTGCCACGTCCCTGACACGTGCTGCCGTCGGGCCCCCACCTCCTCTTCCCTTATAATTCCAGACCTCCCTCCGTTTGTCTTCAAGTTTATTCATCATGTGAAAACGGCGAAGGAATTGAGAAAAACGTGAAGAATAAGCAAAACAGACTCCACCACCATCCTGGTGTGGTGTCTGCCACACCGGTGGTAGAATCTGTCATGTTTGCCATGGGTGTGGTGTCCGCCACACCCTGGTGTGGCAGAATTTACCCTTTTTGTCATGGGTATGGTGTGTGCCACACCAGGGTGTGACAGACTCGTTTTTAGAATCCTAATCTATTTGGGATTGTGTTTTTGTTATAAATAGAACCACGTTTTTTAGGGTTTCTTAAGGAGAGAATTAGCATTGTTTTGAGCACTTTGAGAGGGAGATATTGTGAGGGAGTTGAGAGCTTTGGTTAGGGTTATATTTGAGTGATTTTGTGAGTTGTAACCCGTTGTATTTCTCCTTCATATAATAAAATCTCCCCATCCTCTCCCCGTGGACGTAGGCAATTGCCGAACCACGTAAATTCATGTGTTTGTGTGTGATTTTGGTCGTTATTTTGTGAATTGCACTCGTGTTTGGTTTTGGTTTTCTTCTCTCATCACTCACCGACTCGTTTGGTTATCGAGCACGCTTTCGCACGGCGCGCAACAAGTGGTATCAGAGCTCAGATTTCAGATCTAAGGTTTTGGATTAGGTGGAGGAAGATTCAGTTGGAAGTTTGGTTCTTGGAGTTCTAGGCTTTGGTGGAGTTAGGGTTTGAAGTTACCGTTGAAGATCTCGCTTTCCTCTTGTGGTTACGAGTTCTATTTGGAATCCAATCTAGGGTTCAGTTGGGTAACTTCTAAATTCTATAAAGTTTGAATCTTTCTTTGCAATTTGGAGTTTGTGATTATGGGTGAAGAAGTTGATGAAAGCAGCAAGATGACGGGTACAGTTCAAGTGGGTTTTCAGAACACTAAGATTAGTGTAGTGAAATATGACGACAAAATTAATTTTGATTTGTGGATGAGCGACGTACATGATGCGCTCAATGCTTAAAATTTGGAGGAGACCATCATGGTCGATGTGAGGCCACCTAAATATGAAGAGACGGTATGAGAAAAGATAAATAGGAACGCTTGTGGGGTAATCAGGTCTTGTTTGGAACATGAGCTAAAATATGATATGATTGGGGTGACGTCTGCGATGAAGATGTGGGAAATTCTCAACAATAAGTATCTTACGAAGAGTGTTGAGAACATGTTGCATTTGCTGCGTAGGTTATTCAGATTCCAGATATCCCGAGGCACCTCGCTTGCGGCTCATGTGAACAACTACATTAACTTGTTGTTGGACTTGACGAACGTGGATGAGAAGATCACAGATGAGTACGAGGCAGCGAGGCTATTATTCTTTTGGGCTCCTTACCGGATGATGAGTATGATACCTTCGTGCTTACTTTGCTGAACGGGAGATCTTCTATCACTTATAGTAAAGTGACTAATGCATTGACGAACTACGATTTGAGGAGAAAGGATAAGGAGACTTCCTGCGCTAGTACTTCAGGAGAGGCATTGTCGACGAGAGGTAGAAGCTCATATCAGAAAGGTGGAAATAGAGGGAGGTCAAAGTCAAGAGGTCGTCACCAGCTTGAAAAGAACCAATGTGTATTCTGCAAGGAGCAGAAACATTGGAAGAGAGACTGCCCAAAGGTCAAAGAAAAGGAGAATAGCAAGAATAAGGGCCCTAAGGCTAATAAGGTGAATGTTGCGAAAGACGATGATTCTGATGATTCGAGCTTTTCTCTTTTGATTACTCCGGAGGTGAACCATTTGGATGCATCGGATTGGATGCTTGATTCTGGCGCTACTTATCATGTGACTCCTTGGCGAGATTGATTTTTATCGTTTGAGAGACTTGACGGGGGTGTTGTTATCATGGGAAATGATAAATCCTGTGGTATTTGTGGGATAGGTACTGTGAGGATTCGGATGCACGATGGAGTAGTTCGTGAGTTGAAGGAGGTGAGATTCGTTCCTCAACTAAAGAAGAATCTTATATCAGTTGGAGCTTTGGAGGCTAAGGGATTCAGGGTGACCTTTGAGGACGCTGTAGCGAAGGTTACTAAGGGATCTTTGGTGGTGATGAAGGGAGTCCGTAGTTAAAAATTATACTATCTGAAGGGGAGCACCGAGATTAGCCATGTTGCTTCGGCTACTTCAGAGGCGGACATGAGTAGGCTTTGGCATTACAGGTTAGGACACATAGGAGAGAAGTCACTGCAGGCTTTGTACAAGCAGGGGCTATTGAAGGGAGCCAAGAGTGGTAAAGTGGAATTCTGTGAGCACTGTGTTCTTGGCAAGAAGACGAATGTGAAGTTCAGGACGGTCATTCATAGGACGAGGGGCATCTTGAACTACGTGCACACAGATGTTTAGGGTCCCACCAAGACTGCATCACTTGGTGGTCGATATTGGTTCGTCACGTTTGTTGATGACTATTCTAGGCATTATTGGGTGTACACCATAAAGCATAAGAATGAAATCCTAGATTTATTTGTGGAGTGAAAGAAGATATTGAAACTGCAGACTGGGAGGAAGATCAAGACGTTGCGATCCGACAACGGCGGCGAGTATACTTCAGACCCCTTTCAGCAACTATATCGAGACGAGGGCATAGAGAGGCACTTCATAGTTAGTCATACACCGCAGCAAAATGACGTGGCAGAGAGGTTAAATCGGTCTTTGCTGGAGAATATTCGATGTTTATTGGCGCATAGTGGTTTGGAGAAGATCTTTTGGGCTGAGGCACTTTCATATGCGAGCCACCTCATTAATAGGCTGCCTTCATCTGCGATTGAGGGAAAGACCCCTATGGAGATGTGGTCGGGAGAGACAACACATGACTATGACCAGCTTAAGGTATTTGGTTGCCACACATGACTATGACCAGCTTAAGGTATTTGGTTGCCCTGCATATTATCATGTTAGAACTGATAAGTTGAAACTTTGAGCTAGGAAGACCATATTTGTAGGATTCAAACGTGGTGTCAAGGGATACAAGCTTTGGGATCCAGTTGATAAGAAGATTATGCTGAGTAGATACGTCACATTCGATGAGGCTTCTATCTTGAAGCTTTCCAGCTCTCATCAGGTGGAGAGCGACCCGACAAAGGAGATATCGCAGGTGGTGGAGATTGATGCAGCTCCACAGTGTCCAGATGGTGCAGTATCCATTAGGGTGCCGACTAAGGTGACGCCAGGCGAGCACGACGGTGATGCGGAGGATACAAGTACTCATGTGCAGGATCAGGGACCGACGGCTCAGGTTTATGATTCTATTACGGTTCGGAGACAGAGGAGAGACATACGGGTGCCAGCACGGTATGCCGACACAGTTACATATGCACTTCTGGTGAAGAGTATCAATGAGATGATACCTACTACTTTCAGAGAGGCCGAGCAGAGTTCGGAGGCTGATTCGTGGCAGGTAGCTATGCAGGAGGAGATGAAGTATCTTCATAAGAACGATACATGTGAGCTTGTTGATCTTCCAAAGGGGCGGAAGGCGATTGGGTGCAAGTGAGTATACACGAAGAAGGAGGGCATTGAGGGCACTCCATTGAGGTTCAAAGCTAGGTTGGTTGCGAAGGGCTATGCACAAGATGAAGGTATTAACTATAATGAGGTTTTCTCTCCGGTGGTGAAGCATTCTTCGGTTCAAATTCTGCTAGC